ACAATAGTATTGTTTATATCTGGTATTAAGTTTTTACTTTTACTAACTTGCTTTACAATAGTATTGTTTATATCTGGTATTAAGTTTTTACTTTTATTGGCTTGCTTTAGAATAACATTGTTTATATTTGGCATTGTTAATTTACTTTTACTAGCTTGCTTTAGAATAACATTGTTTATATTTGGTATTCAATTTTTACTTTTTAATAAAGGTTTTACTTCCACTTTTTACTCAGTAAACATGACCAGGTTTGTCTGTAATATTTCTGTTTATTTTGAATTATAGTAATATTAATACTTAAATAAATACTTAGTAAATTAGTGAAAGCTTGTAACGTGCAGAAATAAATACATATTTATATGGCAAACATATAATTTAATAATTCTTCGTATACATTCAACCCGTATATATATATATGCTTATTCAATTTCATTTGAAATGTACTAAAAAACGTGAAACAATTAAATATAACACATAACGTTTCGACAGATTATCTGCAGGTGTTAGGTGTGTTTAACTACTTTTTATCATTTAACAACATGATTTCTCAAATGTTAAATTATCACGTAATTAATTGTTGCATTCTAAATAAAACTACTTTCCTGTTTAAATCAAATTTTGGAAATTATAAATTTATTGGTTTTTATTTGAATGTTGAAACTTTACTTGTATATGAGAAAACCCGTAAAACTTTAGAATTCTGGATCGGATATCTATCGTTATCATTGTTAGTAACCTATATGATCACTCAAGTTTAATTATTAATTAGTTATTAATTTTGTAATGTACTATACACTAATTACTAACTAGTTTTCAATACATCTTTCGGCTGGCAATCTGCTGCCGTTTTCTGTGATGGTAGTGGCCGGGATTCGATCCTGGGTCTTCTCGATAGAGGTTGGTATACACTCGTTTGGGGTCCTCAGAGCTTGTATGAAAACCAGATTGACCTTTGATATTATTTTTCACGTTACTGTGGATAGTAATATTGTTCCTTAGAAGTATAGCAGAAAAACCCAAAGCCTGGAGAAACGAACAAATAAAAAGAAATCTGTCAGGAATCTTTCTAGAAAGTGGATCAAAGTTAGAAAAGATTGAGAATGAAAAACAACAACAATATTAAATAATGTACACGTATTTACATATTAGTACCTAAACCTAAACAGCTATTGAAAATCAACCTCATGTGTATTAAAAACACGCTCTGTATTACAACACAGTCAGGATAATAGATTAGGCTTATTTTTACAGATGTTTAAACTATGAATCCAAGTAACTAATACTGGTTCACACCTTCACAAATTACTTGGACTAAACAGTAACTGAACCTCTCAGTTTTACACGTTATCACTTTTCTAGTTACAAATTAGCTTAGATAGAATAAAACTCATAAAACGTTCGTATTGAGAAAT